AAGAAGGGGGAGAGGAGCAGAGGCGTGGGGAGTGGCTGGTGGGAAATCCATGGGGAGGGACCGGGAAGTGCCAACGTTCTCATGGGTTCCTTTTCTTCAGGTCCCAGAGGGGCATTGGGCTCTGTTAGGACCGGACCATAGCTCAGCCCCTGGATACAGCAGGAACATCAGGATGCTGTCACCCTTCCCTTCATCTCCTTGGGGTTCTTCCCCACCACCACCCCCATAGGAAGCTCTTCCGCAAGCCAAAATCCCGGTCGCTCCCACCCGCTACTGTCAACTTACTTGGCTCTTGCAGTTTGAACATCAGGCTATCTAAAGAGGAGAGAGTTTTCACAGGATCAGGTCCACGCCTTGGACAAACTGGCCAGGGCTTAGCTTTAGTATGGAGGCGGGGGAGGCGAAACCACTCACGAGGGGGTGGGGGGCCTTCGGAGGGGAAATATTGAGGGTGTGAGGGCTCAGCTGGGCACAAATGCTTGGGGTTGGCTTGCTCTGGTGTTGGGTAGCAATGCTGGGGTAGCCATGCAACCCACCCAGAGCTGGGGGAGAGCAACCTCCTGGCCAAGTGAAACTCCTCTCCAAGAGCTGCCCCAACAGCCTTCTCCCCGCACTGTAGCTCCCCCCTCCCTGGCGTTGTACCCCCCGCCAACTTTAATTGTCCCGCCAGCTTGGAAGCGACGGGAACGACTGCGCCAGCAGCTCTGAATTTGCTTTTTAGAGGAGGCTCCTTGGCTGAGCTTGTTCTTCTCTCCTGTCCACTTCCCAACTCTTTTTGCCCCGGGAACATCTGCCAGGGGCCTCCTCTGGTTCAAAGTTTCAGCTGCATTTGTTTATGGGTTTTGCATCAGCAGCCGGCACACAGGAACCCGGTTTCCCCCCGATATCGGGCACGCGAGGCAATGTCCCCCCTCTCCCAAGCCCACTCAGTACCTTGGCATGTCCTCAGCATGTCCCTCACGAGGGCGTTTCTCTGAACAAACTCCTCAAGTTTCCTCTCCAGGTCGGAGGAAATCGTCTCCGGGGGGTTGAACTTCATCATCTCACAACTGCAAAGAGAGCAAAAAAACCAAAACCCCCACAACCCATCGCGTGTGATTTACTCGATCACTCATTTTGTTCTTATTCAATAACCCAGGAGAAAGTGGTGGGACGGGCTGAGGACTCTTATCCAGGAGCAAATAACCCACCCACCCCACCCTCCTTCTCCCTGCCCTGTTCCTCTGCAGTTTCTTTCCCCCCAGATCGTCGCTGAAGGGGCATTTCCAAACACAACGCGCCATTGAGGGAGGCTGCAAAACCCCCGACCTCGGGATTCACCCGGGTGGCATCCAGACCTCTCCCAAGCATCAGAGTGGGGGGGGAAGTGAGAAGGAACCACGTCACCTATTCAGGTGTCTTCTGATGTCCTAAAGGTGGGAAGAGAGAGGAGAGACAGTTGAGGAACGACGTGTGGTGCCTTCCAGCAACCATTAAATATATATTCGTAGCAAAGAAGGACCCTGCGCATGCGGTGATCCCACCTGTGTCAACGCTAGAAGGCACAAGGGAGCTCCCATGGGGTTGAATTTGGGCGCCCAGGTCTCCGGCTTTGGTCTCTCCCTCCTTCCCCCGCCAGCTCCGAGGCTTTGGGTGCTCACCTGGAGGAATTGGCTCGGCGGCTGCTGGAATTTCCCCTCCATCTCCCAGATCAGGGTGTCGAGGTGGGACATCTCCTCCGAGATCTTTGCCATTGCTTCCTCCTGGACTCTGGTGATGGCCCGGTCCAGATCTGCCAGCTGGGCCAGGAGGAGGCGCTCTTGCTCCTTCAAAAATCGGTGCAATTGCTCAAATTCACCAACCATCTTCTTCCATTCGGTTTTGGTTTTCTCCTGCCAGGATCAGAGATGAGGGCAAAAGGGATAAAAGAGGGGCAGGAGAAAAGAGGGGCAGGAGCCCTCCCCGCGCAGCAGAAGGCACGGCACGGCTTCTCTATGGCTCCAACACCTGGAAGGCTGGCAAAAATTTCTCCAATGGATTATTTTTACGCCGTTCCAGTTTGTATTACTGTCACGGCTCTGAGGCTGGCCCGGTCCGTGGAGCTGCAACAACCCCCGGAACTTTGGGGAAGGAACCACGGGAGCCTGGGGTAAAGCTCTGCAAGATGGGGGCTACAGAAAAATCCCGCTGCCCTCAAGAAAAAGAGATGAGCACTTCCGAGTCACCGGGTTGGTCTCAAGAAACCATGTCCACGGCGCTACACAGTCATAGAATCACAGAATCATGGTATGTTTTGGGTTGGAAGGGACCCCTAGAAGTCATAGAATCATGGAATGGTTTGGATGGGAAGGGACCCCCAGAGATCACCCAGCCCAAACCCCCCTGCAGGGAGCAGGGACATCTCCAACCACATCAGGTTGCTCACAGCCCCAGCCAACCTGGCCTGGGATGTTCCCAGGGATGGGGCCTCCACCCCC